CCGCCACCACCACCGCTACCAGTACCGCTACCACTACTGCTATCACTACTGCTACCACTACTGCTACTGCTACCTTTAGCAATAGAAATCTTACAAAGCCGAGGCACAATAAGCTACCGCATAATGAAACAATAGATGATGATCGCTTACAAGTCAGAGCAAATGCTTGGTTCTGTAAATTGTAGCAAGAGTTAAAGCAAAGGCTAACGAAATAACCCTGAAGCCTTATTACAATTTCTACCTAATTATTGTTTGTTTTACTTAATTTGGAAGCCATTAAAATCTCTATTGTTTAATGATATGCCGACCACTTGTGCCCCGCAGGATGAGGACTTCGCGAAAATCATCGAGACAAAAGAAGGCGCCACAGTAGATACTCTCTTTGTTGGACACACTGGAAACCCTTAATTACAAAAGGTAATACGTCCTTCGCATGTAGTAAAGAATCGCATCTAAAAGCAGTGCATTTTTCCAGCGAGTCAGGCTTCCCCTCCGTCAAAAAGGAATGTTAGTGATCTGATGTGATTCAAAGTACATAGTAATTTATCAATGTCTTTATGCAGGCAATGTGTCATTATGCAGAAGTGTTGATGGATGAGTACATCAGGTAGGAACAGGCAGCGCCCTAAACCACTCGGCCACGCTGCCTCCTCGTGCGAAAAGTAGTCACTTCCGGTTTGCGAATGACTCCAAGGTCGTGAGTCCGAAGAAGCCTGGGCGAACTGCTTTTTAGTACTAGTAAAAAACGTGTAGCCTTGGTAGCCGGCATTAAACTGTTTCTTAGCTACGTGCAAAATAAGACATGATAGCAATTCTAACAGGAGATCTTGAAAAGTTAAAAAATGAATAATGGGGCCTTGAAAGCTCTATTATATGGTTTAAAATGGTTGACTTCCTGGACTTTTTACGACTAATGATTAAAATGTTACAATTTTAACGCTGAAAGATTAATTTTTCAACCCCTCTGAGACCCGCGTTCAACAGATTAAAAAAGCAAAAAACATAGGTAATATGCCCTGCGCGTATAGTCCCAGTTTATTTCATTTTTATACCTTTCTAGTTTTTTTACAGAAGCGAGGAGGAGATATCGGAATTCGACCCTGAGATAGTGTATATTAATAAAGGTAGTCGGTCTTACGTCAATCAGAACGAAATTGACATGATGGAGAAAATATACACACGTTGCCGTCGTGGTTTTCTTCAACTTTCTATGATTGTCGCCGTGCAGACCCCCCATAGATTTTGCTGTTTCAAACGCGTAAACGTTTTACGCATAAACCCGTTTTTAACCCGGAGATTGCGCAAGCAATCTATAGGGTTTTAGTTGTGGTGCAGATTATGCAAATTATGTTCTTCCATCATCTATAAGCTTTTTGGAGTAATTCCGCTCACCAGTACATAAAGCTCCTGAAATTACTGTATTAGTCAATATCGCAGGCACATGTATCGTTTTACATTTCTAGGTCAAGGTTTATGTTACTGCGATTGTTGCACTAAAAATGGAAACCTGTTTTGTTTGCTTTCTGGGTATAGTTCATTTAACATTTCTATTACAATTCTAATCTCAAATTAACAGTTAATGGTAAATAAGACAAAATGTTGACTTTTTTTAACACGCATTGGGAACGTTTTTGACGACAGAAGTTGCTGGATGCTGCTATTGTAAATTTCGCCTCCAAAGTTAAGTTAAGACTGACGAGAGGCAATGCGCTTTACATATCGATGGTACTTCTACTGGGGGGTTGAGCTCCTGAAATTAAATTTCAGAAATCAAAGCGAACCGTTTCGTTGAGGCCACCGTAGCATTTATCGAAAAAGCCTCTAGTAACTGAAAGAACACTGCGCTCTTTCGAGCTTCTAAAAAGTTCATGATTACGTCAGATTATAAGTTTCAATCGCGGGCGTGGAATCCACCGCGAGAAACATGTACATGCACACCAAGAAATTCAAACGTGTAAGTTGCCTCGATCGCTGATGATCGGAAACAATAGCCATTTGCATTAACGTGCACCGCAAAAGCCCAGCTAATCCGGCTAAAATAGCCATGCATGCTGCTGCCGCTCGTCTCCTCATATCTGTAATCTGCTTTTGTTTGTTTCTTTTGTCTTAAATTTAATAAATGTAACAAACCAGGGACAAAATATAACAAAATGTTTCATTTTTGCTAAGCAACTAGGCAAAACATAGCTAGATTCCAGGCCTTAACCGCGCTATATGCGCAAAAATTTGCACGATTCGGGTGTTTACACGAGTCCGTGCGAAATATGGAACCGTGCTTGACAAAAAGTTGACCTCCTATTTTCAGGTCCAAAACTTGCACACTTAGCCGTTCAAAAATTATTCCAGTACCGCCGGTCCCGTCATGATGGAACGGTGCAATTTTTTTTCGGTGCAAAAATTTGTCCGGACCCGTGTAAACGGGGCCTCATAGCAGATTTAATCATGATCATCGCAACACGATCGCATGTGTACAGTTTGTTTTGATAACCCAAAATTCCGTCAAATTCTTCTCATCAGTTCAGGTTTATTGCAGCACGAATGTGCTCCATATAAAAGTGGTAGGTAGAAATTCTTGCTTGTTCGAAGCTTTTTTTGCT